GTACGTCCCAATCGGTGTCTATATGTCGCATTCTATTCCTGATCGTTTTATCACCGTGTTTGACAGTCTCTTTTGACTGAGGCGAGCACCAAAAAATATGAAACTACAAAAAGAAGACGAAGCCTGCCGACGATGAAAGATGATAATAGCGATTCATTACGTTTCTCCTTTCTCCAACATTGTCATCAGACAAATTATAAGCCTGAATGGGTCTGGAAATTCAGGTCTAGCTCAGTAACAGGAAGTATGCTTTGTCAAGTCTCAATAACCAAAGCATGGCAAGGGCAGACAACTCCAGGGTTTATGACAGACTCCGGGTGACAGAAATTGGCAATACAAATCATTTCATGCGCAATGGCGTTTATCGATTACAGCCTTGGTCGGGATACTTTTTTCCTTGCTTTTTTTTCAGGTGTTGACATTCAACTTTTACGAGATAAATCCGTGTGTTTCGTTTTTGTGGCTGGGAGGAAAACATACTGTTGTCACTTGTTTGTCCTGCATCACGACGAAGTTCATCGGAATCTTACTTTGATCAACAGCATGCCCCATTAATATTGTACCCTTACTGCTTACTTGGCCCTCAGTTAAGTAAACAAATATCCTTCTTGATATTTTATATAATCATTTTTTACTTTAAAAAAAGAACACGAAAATAATTAGTTACAAATGAATTCCGCTTTGGGCACACTGATCTTGATTTTCTTAAATGTTTCAACATTTCTGGCAGTTTAACGTGCACCCGATGCCGATGATTATTATTACAAAAAAGGATACAGCAGAAGGGTTTTATTTTCTTTTTTTTAATTGGTTTTAAAGTCCCAGTTTGTTATTTTATTAATCCCAAGCTTGACATTTTGAAATTTGGTTGTCAGAATTTAGCTTTTGCAATTTCCGATAGTATTTTTTAGCTATCGCTAGCTGATCATTTTATGATAAACATTTGTCTCCCCATAGGGGGGGGGGGGAGGAAATTGTAATTAATTTTGTTTTAATTAGAAATTTAAAAAATGATTTAAGAGGCCGCATATTGAGTTAGGGCCAGTTAATATTGTGTAGGCTAGGGCAGAAGATTGATATTTCATGAATAACATCCTCATGTGGGAGTCGTACTGCACTAACGTCATCTATTTGCACGGTGAACAAGAAATGGACAGCACGATGCCTTACTCTGACTGTCTTTGGTCCAAAGAGACCAAAGTTTGCATAGCCTTCACAGCTCGTGAGCTAATGCGTACAGTTATCCAAGTATGTTGCTTGTAGACAGAATAATCTTCATGAACTCCCCTGGGAATGGAATGAAAAAAATGGTCGACTTCTTTAAAGGTTACCTCAACTGAGAGCAACTTTGGAACTTGAAAACAGAATCTCTGTCGATGCACGAGTAAAATCACTAACAATAAAGACTTAGTAGTGAAAGGTTAAGTACAACATCACACCCTAGAAAGTCATAGATACCACTAGCTAATGTCATGCATTTGTGCTGTTTATTTCAACCACAAAAGTCTAGTCAGCCATAAACGTTAAATTTATGGTAACATGAAATGTAGGCCTCCCAAAGTCCAACCCTTCGTCCTAGTAGGGGGAGGTGGAAACAGGACAAAGTAGATGATAGCTGGGTCTGGGTGAAGTATAGTGTGACTTTATGTCACTGAGGCGTTACGCTAGCCGTGAAGGCCGACCCGGGTCACCAAGAAACGTTGTTGGCTAAAGGGGCTCTGGTGAAACTACCGTGACTGGCCTAGCAAACCGACGGCGGAAAATTACTGCTACGTAACAATCAAAGGAGAAAACCCAGACAGATTCAAACGGAAAACGACCAGGAAAAGTAAACGGACAGCGAGCTAGAACAACGATTAAAATAGGCACATGGAATGTCAGCGGACTTGGAGACAAAGAACCAAAAATAGTGGTTTTCATGGAAAGAAAGGAAATAGCTATCATGGGCTTGTCAGACATAAGGACAAGAGGCAACCAGAGCAAGCTGACCCATAAAGGCTACCTCCTGATCTGGAGCGGAACACCTGAAAATGAGAGAGCCAAACATTGTGTAGCTTTCATCATACACCTAGCCAAAATGGATACAATCTATGAAATCAATCAGATCTCAGAGAGAATAGTGAGCATAAAACTCATAGAGAGCAAAACAACAACGTACATCCAAAAATACGCTCTCTGTAAGACAGCTATACAGAGGAAGATAGACAATCATATTTCCAAGACCTGAGTGACCTTGTTAACACCATCAAGAACAAAGAAGATATATCTATTTTTGGGAGATTTAAATGGCAGAGTTGGACGAAGAACAACCCATTGAAAGAGTACTTGGTACCCCACCGCGATAAAGATACAGACTGCAACAGCAATGGAGAAACGATACTAAACTTATGCACTGAGCACTACATGATGATTACGAACACATTTTTCCAACATAAACAAAGCCAAATCAAGACCGAGTACAAATGGAGTGACCTGAACCATGCATCACAAATTGATTTTATCTTGATGCACAGAAAACAACGACATACAGCCAAAGATTCGAGAGCGGTTCCAAACTACATCATCGACACGGACCACAGACCTGTGATACTTACTCTCACAACCAACAACGTAAAGCAAACAAAGAAGAACAGGGGAAAAACCACGACTAACCTGAGAAAATTGGAAGAACCAGACATCAAGAAAGCAGTCGAGGATGACATTACAAAGGAATACTATAAACTGTCACCTGAGATAAAGGACATAGAAGACAAATGGCAAATATTCAAAAAATCCCTGTCAGAAATACTGAAAAACAGTTAGTTGTGGCACCAAACGAATAGGTGGAAACAAAGGCAGAACAACGTGCTGGTGGAATGATGAAACCAAAGATGCAATTAGAATGAAAAAGAAGAAATTCAAGAAATGGCAGAAGTCAAAGACCGAAGAAGACTGTATAGAACACAGGAAAGCGAGAAGAGAGACCAAAAGAATCATCAAAATTGCTAAAGAAAATGCATGGAAAATATATTGCAAGAAACTTACCAAAATCTGCAAGGAAAGCCCTAAGAGAATTTTATAAAAGTGTGAAGAGCATCCGGATAAGGAAAGACCCATACAACCCGACATGCATTATAAACGACAAAGAGGGAAACGCCATTATCGGCAAACATGCAATTAAGAAAAGATGGAAAAATTATTTCCAAGAACTGCTCAACCCAGACGCTTGACACGGACAACAAGTAGAGTTCGAACCATCATATGGAGATCAAACACCAATACTTCCCAGTGAAATAGAAAAGGCACTCCAGACCAGCCCCAAGAACAAAGCCCCAGGACCAGAAGACATCACAGCGGAAGCCATAAGAGCTTGTGAAAACACCGGTATACTGTGGCTGTGGCGAATTTTCAACAGACCCGGGGAGCAAAGAAAATTTCCAGAAGACTGGCAGAAAGCCATAGTGGTACCATTATGGAAAAAAGGACAACAAACACGACTGCACAACATATAGAGGCATCTCATTGTTAAGCCACTCAGGAAAAATGTATGCAAAGATACTAGAGCAGCACATAAGACCTATTGTAGAGAGAAATCTGAGCAAAACTCAGTTTGGATTCCGAAAGGGAAGAGGATGCACGGATGTCGCATTTGCATTACGACATATCATATTTGCAAGAAAACTATCCAATACAACAGAGAATCCAACATCGTCTTTATAGACCAGGAGAAGGCTTTTGACAGAGTAAACTATGCAAAACTCTGGAAGACACTCGAAAAGTATGGCGTCAGAGGACAAATGTTAGATAATGTCAGAGCTCTATATACCAACAGCAGAAGCTCAGTAAGAACAAAGGAAGGCAATACAGACTGGTTCAAAGAAAGATCTGGAGTACGACAGGGA